CTGTGCCCAGCCTTTTGTCCTCAACTTTTAACTGAGTCTCAAGATCTTTTCCTGCTCTACCTCTTTGCTGGTCAAAAAGCTTTGGTATCCTGCCCTCCCAGATCCCCCTGTCCACTGACCTCAAAGGTGATCCGGGAATGGCGCCTCACAGCCAGGTCCGCTATGTTGACCCTGTTGAAGATTACATTTTCCATGCAGCCACGGAAATTATGCCTATAGGCGAGATTTTTCCGTGCAGCGCCCACCAGACCGCCGACAAACATCTGCAGGAGGAGTGGGAGATTGAGGTTCCCTGGGCACAGGAGCACCTTATTCTTTCCCAACCACCAGCCCAGGCTTTATTAAAGACTCAAACCCCATATTTCCCCAGTGTTGGTACTATAGCTCGCTCAGGCTCCTTTTCCAGCTCTGACTTCACCATAGTTGGCTGAATACCCTTGGGCAAGTCAATCAACCTGTCTGGGATTCTTTATCTGTAGATCCAAGCCAGGGTCTTTAGCAACTCCACAAAGTTGTGGGAGGATCCAAGGGGACAATTCTCCTACCTAGCCTGATGCCAAAACTCTGGCCTCATAGACCCCATCTTAGTAGTTCTGGGATGGCACCTAGAAGTATGCATGCCAATAGCAGAAACATCAACAAAACCCAGGCCTTTTCCGGTGAGCAGCAAGTGGGCCAAGAGCCGCTAGGTTATTTGGGAACCAGATTGCAGAAGTCTCATCTCTGGGAGAGAGAGAACTACTGTCCCTCCCACCCCCACTCATCCAGCACCCCACCAATCAAATGGCACTTCCCCCCTCTCTTACTTCTGTGTCTAGATTCAACCTCTCAAAGTCACCATTGAGCACAAAGGGCTGGACATAGCCGTCTAGGGTGAGATTTGCATCACGGCCATATCGATCCACACGTACATAGTGCCAGTGCTGGTCGTTGAGGACACCGCCGGCACTCATAGTTGTGTGACCTGGTCTTGGCTGGATTGGGCTGCTGCCTGAGAATGGAGTGGGACAAAGTGAGACCTGAAGCCAGGACAACTCTTGCTAGCCCTAGTACCCAGGAGGAGGAGCAGTGCCTAAGGCAGAAAAGGGGCTGCAAGACCAACAGCCACCTGGTGAGCGTGTGACTTAACATAAGTATTTAACCTCTCCCAGCATCTGTTTTCCTACCTATAAAACTTGGAGCACAACAGCTACTTCTATGTCATCATGGGGATGTTATGAAAAGCTAACTAGAAACAAAATAATAGTGTGTGTGTTAAGGGTGAAGGTACTGAGGCTCAGGGAAATGTCTTGTCCAAAGTCACACCACTAGTAAATAAATGGTAGAGGTGAGACTAGAATTTAGTTCTGACGCAGAGTCTAGTGCTTTGCTAGCACCAAGTGCTACTTGGTAGTAGCTACAAGGAAAGTATGTTTTGGTCCATACAGCAAATGGGAAGATGGAGCCTGGGCGCGGCTGAGCGCGGAGGAGGTGCTGGAAGTTGGTGTTGGGGAGCTTCAGGTATTGGCCCCTGGTCGCTCTCACCCAAGCTCATGTGCAGCAGTAGGTGCGCCCCCTGCAGCTCGAGCGTCACGTAGTCCCCTTGGGCTCCCTCAGCATGCAACAGGAGCCCATCCTTCTCCTCAGTCTTGAAGCTGAAGGCGAACACGTCCCACAGGCTTCGGCTGACCCCTCGCGGGAAACGGTATGAGATGGCATCGTCGCCGTCGAAATAGAGTATGTCAGACTCTGTGCAAAGGACCCTAGGTGAGCTGGGGGCTGGGGAAACTGTTTTCCTGCCCCCGCCATGACCCACACACTTACTGTAAGGGCAGCCGTAGAGTCCAAGCCGCAGGCCAATCTTGCCGCGCGGGTTCCAGGCCAGTGGCACGATGCGGATGTAGCGCGCGGTGAAGTGGTAATGAAAATCGTGGCGCACTATCCCCGATTCATTCACATTACCGAAGAAGGTCTGCGGGGACAGAGAGAGTAGTAACAACATCCCCACTCTCTGCTTTGTTTCTCCACAGCCTTCCAACCTGTGGCGTTCACACCCAATCTCGACTTTGAGAAAACAAACACTTCAGATCTCCCCTGTCTCCGTTGTTTTGCGCACAGTTTTTCTAGCCTAGAGTGGCCTTTCCCAACTTCCTGTTATTTCCTCAAACCTCAGATCAAATGTCACCTGCTTAGGAAGTTCTCCCAGATTTTACCAAAAAGTGCGCTAAATAAACCCTGCGATCTGAGAGTGCCTTTGGGCATGTGGTGAGCTGATAGTCCCTCTGGACTGAGTTTCTGGAATGGAATCACTGCTCCTCACCTGTGCCCTCACCCCTCCACGCCCTCTCCCTTCCTCCTCGGGCTAGTACCCAGCAGGGCCCAGCACAAGAAAGTCCCCAAATATTCACGCCTGAGCGCCCAGAGTACCGCATTGTGCCCTCTCTGGTAAAACGGCGTCCAGTTGTCCACTCGGTCACCGTAAAGCAGCATGTAACGTGTGACCCAGTCCCAAGAATTAAAGGAGCCCTGTGTGGCCACGGCCCGGATCCGGTGCTTCTTCATTAAGTCTATCTGGAGCCAGGGATTTGGATCCCCAATCCGAGGTGACCATCCACTTATGCCTATAGAAGGGACAGGGGCTTTTTACCACTGGCTACCCCTCCCCTGCTCAGCCCGCAGGAATCCCTCACCCCACAGTGGTGCTGCTGCGGAGTGCAGTGGGAACTCACCGTGCAGCCTGGCAAAGCGGGGTGCTGTGAAGAGCCCGTAGTAGGAGGAAGCCCCCAGGGAGCGAGCATACAGGGGCCCCACCAGCTCCTCGTCGCAGCCGTCTGGAGTAGAAAAAGGAACATGTTAGTCACTGCCAGCCCTTCTCAGGCCCTCCCCAAACCTTAACCTACTGAGCAGCCTGTAGAGGAAGCTCCCCTTGCTCCAACCTCTAGGGGCACACCCAACCCTTCCTTAAAGCCATCTATTCAATCCTGGCTTTAGGTGGCTCATGCGTGTAATCCTAGCATGAGAGGTTGAGGCTGGTGGAATGCTAGAGCTCTGGAGTTCAAGACCAGCCTGAGCAAG